TCCCTCTTCTCTTCTCCCCTCAATTACACTAGTAAACACCTGATTTCCTACTTCCAGTCTCAACCTCCTTTAATTCACTCTCCACACTGCTTGCAATTAGGGATAGCAAAACAACACAAATAGATCATATCCAGTAGCCTCAGAATGAAATGCAGACTTAGTATGGATTATAAAACTGTTCATGATGGGGCCTCTTGAGCAGACATCTCATTTATGTTCACTTTCCACACTCCTCTTGGCCTTACTGAGATATTGACTCTCCCTCAAATCATGAACTCTCCGGATCTCCTTGCATTTTTAACCTATCTTTCTTTCTACTTAGAATATCCTATGTGGATTATGACTCTTTGTAACTATGTAGGTCAACATGAATCTAGAGTGATTGCCTCTCTAACTTCCGACTATCATGTGCCAGCCCTAAACTGGGCATCAGAATGGTTGCCAAAGGGAAGAGCTCAAGGTGAGGGGTAGGACCCAGGCATTTACTAAAAGTGAGCTGCTGCTGGCCCCTGCTGCTGATGGGAGAAGCAGGCAAACAAAAATACTTTCTGTGTTTTTTATTTAAACAATCTCAGAGAAACTGTGCTAAGGGAAAAGAAGAGGGGGAAGGAACAAAAAAGAAATAAGACTTAGTTGTAAATCACAAATTAATCAGCATGTACCAAACATAGAAATAAAATTTTGCACTTAGTTAATAAGTCTTCATATCCAATTTTGTTTCCAAAAGGTGAAACCACATAGCACAGGGAACTCCAAGGGAACAGCTGCTAAAATTCCTAAATGAAATGGTGAGTTAGGGATAAAGCCAAATTTTAAAAGAATAAGAACAGTATTGCATTCAGGCATGGTATGAGAACATGTTGCATGTTTCTTACGTAAATACATTCCATTTTATATAGTCCTAAGAGAGGGCTGTTACCAAACTCATACATATCAGGATTCTGGGGGGAAACAAACAAATCCTAGAACTGGATAACTCATAAATCTTTATTGGATAGCATGCCCACTTCCCGAGCAATACACATTAATCTCAGAGATAATTTTTATGACACTTGTGACTATTGCCTATAAATCCATTTAAGATGGGAAGCATCGTCACTGGCATGAGTTGAATAAGAGGATTTACATAGCTAAATTACTCAAGACTATAAAATGTAGAAAAACAAAAAACAGTTTGGATAAATCTTTGGAGCATGTAGCAATGAAATTCAACCTTCAGGGCCTTTGGCTCAACATTAATTTTCAGACCCAGACCTTTCTTAGAGTGCTTAGAGGTTTTAAAACTTCTCTCTATAAACAATACTTGAATAAACAAAATGGATTTATCATCTCAGCAAGGGGATCTCAAGCAGATATATCTAAATTGAAGAATTTTAGGAACGGGGTTCCTTAAAGGTAATAGTCAAACCTCATCATTTTATAAGAAAACAATGTCTGGAAGAGATAAAAATTGTATGACTCACCCAAGGTGATATGATTCATTCTCCATAAGCATCATTATCATCATCAACATCATCATCAACTTCATCATCAACATCATCATCATCATCATCACTAATTATTTATTCAGCACTTATTATTTCCCAAGTACAGGACTAAGTCCTATTTTTCACACCTATTTACAAAGGGTGTACCAGTATCACCCCCATTTTCTAAATGAGGAAAAGGAGCCTCAAAGAAGCAAAGAGCTGTAAAGGTACATCCAAATATCAAACCCATAGTGTAACCCTAAAGACACATTTGTAACCACTCCACTCTCCTTCTGCATCATCAGAACCAGAATCATGTCTAGTGGCCCCCGTGCCAGAGAAAGACACCAGCTCTCACTTTGGCAACGGAGTTTCCAAGTTATAAGATCTGCAATGTCTGACAGTAAATCCGATGAGGCATTCTAACAGTTACAAGTCTGAAAGAAAGGAGTCCCTAACTGCCTAGTACAATGCATGTCTTCATGGCTGCTGTACAAGAGCAGTTACTATAAATTATATGTGTCTATAATTCTCTCAGGAGGTTAGCACTATAAAACATCTTTACATTCATGCTTGAAAACAGTGATTGACAACCTTTTGGACCTCACAGACCACCAGTGGTCCAAGACCACCAGTTGGCAATCACTGCTTTATTATTTATTTATTTATTTATTTATTTATTTATTTATTTTTATTAAATTATTATCTGTGTACATATTTTAACATTGCTCCCCCTCCCATACATACCCTCCCTCCCTAGATATAAAGACAGTAAAGCAACAAGCAGACTATCAAATTACAGCAGGGAGGGTAGGGAGATCTGGGGGAGATAAGAGATCAACCGAAGGATTTGTATACATGCCTATAAGTACAACCAATGGATGCAATCACTGCTTTAAAACACATTGAAGAAATGTCATAGGAAGCTTCATATTCTCACTTTAGTCTTCTATTATCATATGCCTCTTATAGCAGGTAGATTTCAGGAATATTATTAGGTTATATGAGAGGTGCCCTGTGTGATGAGAATGGTCACAGATGCAGAACTGACAATGTTTTCATCTCCATTGATTTATTTTTATTCCTCATTAATTTATGTGATATTCTACTTCTTCAAATCACCAGGTCCAGGGAGGGAGGATAAAAATTGGAATGCTGAAGCAAAAATGATGGCTCCAAGTAATATTCAGATTTTACTTATATACAGATTTAAAGATATTTATGTATGCAAATACAATAGTCAGTAATGATAAGTATAAATAATTAGATATCTGCAGAATTAAAATTCACTTAATTCTCTAAAATATGAGCTTCTCTCCTTCTCAAATCCTATCCTAAAACATCTCTTTCCTGCACTTCTACAACAGCCCCCAAACTTTTCTCCTTATTCCCACTCTTGTTCCCCTACAATCTATACTGCTTCAGGATGAAATTTTCAAATTCCCATTAAAATATATTAATGGTTTGGCAGTGATAATTATTAGAAAAAACAATCATGATAAAGCAACTAATATTTATTGAACTACTTTCTGGTTGCAAGCAAAGCAATAATAACAAATATCTTTAAATTCTGGGGTTGCAAAGTTCTCACACAAAAATCTCTTATGGTCCCAGAATGGCCCTGTGAAGGAAGCAGTACCATCACATCCCACATCTATATATATAAAAGCCTAGTGTGCAAAGTGTCCCCTTGGGAGTGTGATCACTCACTATGGCATGCACTGACCACCAGGTGGCAGCATAGAATGAAGGAGGCCCTGGCTGGCAGCCAACAGCTGCTAGGGACCCTACCCGTGCAAGAATTTCTTGCACTGGGCCTCTAGTCTACTAATAAAAGAAAAACTGGGTCGTATAGGGGGATTAATGATTTTCCAGCAGTTGGGTAGCCAGTGACCCTGAAACCCACCCTCAGCTATGGCATAGACTGCAACCAGAGTTGGATGGCTACCATGGAGAGCAGGGTGAGGCACACTGTGAAGAACTCAGAAGTGATCTACAGACAAGTGATGATGGGTGCTGCTGTATGGCCACCAGCCATTCCAGTGTTTCTAAGTTTTCCATTTGTTTCAGAGACTCCACTGGAGAGTGAGGAGCAGGACTCATCACACACATTTAACTCCATCACCAGGACTCATCCCACACATTTAACTTCATCACCGTTGTGACCACAGTCATCACAAGCATATCCAGCTACAAAGTTACACACCAAGGCCAGCTGCAACCACCTGGCTCCTGCACCCACTCAGGTAAGCAGGAGCAAGGAGCCAGGATTCATCTTTACCTGATACTCAAGTTTTCACAACATTAATGAATATGAGACACTGCCGATAGGAAATACTGCCAATCACAGGTGCAGCTACTGGCAGCCCTGAGCCCTCAGGTTACTGGGCAGTGGCCTTTTATCAACACCCACCCAGTACCATTGCCTTCCTGCTATCTCACAATCGGGGGAAGCTTAGGGTCATTTTGTGCACAGATATGGTTCCTTCCACACTCATATGCTAAATGCACCCTCCACAGAGGATGGCATGCTATTCTGTGTGGCTGTCAATGTCACTTCCGTGGATCAGGAGTCTACATGCTGGTTTTAAGAAGGAAAAAGTGTAATAGATGCTATTCTTGCAACATCCAAGATTTAAAGTAATTCCTTCCATAACATTCCTCCTAGCAGAAAGAGAACCAAAACTTCCTCTAAGTACAAACTCATTCCTTGAACACCAGCTTGATAGCTGTGATTACCCGCCTGCTTCTTCAAGTGAAACTTCACAATGTAAAACTATTTTTACCAATAACAGTAGCACTGAAGAAGCATTTGAGATCTTACTTCTCAGTAGCTGTCATCAGTTTGGTTAAAATAAACTCTTACAAAACAATTTTTTTAAAACTAGCTCTACAGCCTTGGCTAGTATGGCTCAGTTGAATGGAACATTGTCTGATGCACCAAAAGGTTGCCGGTTTGATTCCTGGTTGGGGCACATACCCAGGTTGCAGGTTTGATCCCTGGTTGGAATGCATATGGGAGGCAACTGATTGATGTTTTTCTCTCTTTCTCCCTCTTCCTTCCTCTCTCTCTAAAATCAATAAAACCAGGTTTTAAAAACAATAGCTCTAAAGATGTGGCTTTCCAGGTGACTCAAAATTTCTGAGATGTTATAAAGTTAATTTAAAATCAAAAGCAGGTGAACTTTACTCTGAATATTTTTTATGTGAACTGGCATCAAAAACCAATAATTTAACAAATTATGAATTCTAAGTGAAATTCACCATTAGAAGGAAATTCCATTTTATTATACTCATTTTCAATGTATAAATAAAAATCACAGAAATTCCTAGATTATGTCTATTAGTCAAACATCATTTTAAGCCATTCTAGCATAAAACTAATTTTATATATATATATATATTTAAATAAATGGAACAAAATAGGAAGCCTTATAGAGTATTTTTCAAAAATTTAAAGTACAAAGCTCATCAAGTAAGTCCATGATTTAAAATGAAAAACAAAGGTACTCCTGGAGCAATAATATTTACCTTCTGGACACTGGCAGGTGAATCCACTGAGATTAGAAATGCATGTTGCTCCATTTCTGCATGGGTCTAGGATACAATAATCAATCTTGGACTGGCAAAGCTCTCCAGTATAACCTGAACAGAATAAGAAAGGTATTTTATATAATAACAAGAAAGCTATTTTATTATGCCAAAGCCACCATGAGCCATCCCATGAACTGATGGAGTTAAGTGATGCAACCCTGTCCAGGTTGAGTTTCTCAGGTGAGTGGTTCTCCACTGGTGATTCTTTCCCCGCAGAACATCTAGCAATGTCTAGAGACATTTATTGTCACAGCGATGGGGGTGCTATTGACATCTAGTGGGCAGAGGCCAGGGATGCTGCTAAACATCCTACAATTCACAAGACAGTCGTCAGCAACAGAAATATCCAGCCCAAAATGTCCCTAATGTGGGAGTTAAGCATGCTGGTTTAGGTCAATGACACACTCATTTTGTTCCAGGGCCTCTCATCATTCATTAAACAGAATTTGGTCCTTTTACAAAGCAGAGAAATAGCTCCTTCAGAACATTTTTCAGAATCCTTAGGAATATTTACAACCTCTAGAAAGTTAAAGATCATTTTACAATTAATTATTTGAATATATAACTTTAATTACTGAGGGATTTATAATTGTGATATTCAATAAATAAATGAAATAATTTGCTCAAAGACAGATGACCATTGAAAGCATTGATGTCTCCTTATAGGGAATTAATCACAAAGGTTTATAATTTCTTTGACAAACATTGTAGCAAACAAAAAGGATATAAGAAAAGTTGTGCCTCGGGATATATAGTAAAAATATCTTTCAAGGCCGTGGCTGGTTTGGCTCAGTGGATGGAGTGTTGCCTGCAGACGGAAGGGTCCCAGGGTTCTTTCTATTCTGGCTAAGGGCATATGCCAGATTAAGGGCTCAATCCCCAATAGGGGGCATGCGGGAGGCAGCTGATCAATGATTCTCTCTCCTCATTGATGTTTCTATTTCTCTATCCCTCTTCCTTCCTCTCTGAAATCAATAAAAAAAATTTTTAAAAAAAAGAATGTCTTTCAAGGACATATGAGATGAATGGAGAAGCTCTAAATTGAGGCTTGGTACTTTTAGCAACTGACCCTGAGAAATGACATTAGATAAAATCAAGTTTGTATGCTAGTACATATAGCCTTGCAGATGGAAAAAGACCAGACACCATCAAGGAAATGCATTGAGCTATAAATTTATTCAGTGAGCTCACTACCAGATTACATCTGGTCTGATGTAGACTTAGAGTATTTAATTCTATACTAGTGTGTATTTAAGTATAAAAATATAATTTTAAATTTATCAGTGTATGGAAGGAAAATAGCTAAGTTCCCTGTGAATGTCAGAATGGCTTCCAGGAAAACTACATTCTGGTGATGTTTTTTGACTGTTTTCAACATAACAAAAACCCACCCCACTTCCACCAGCACCCCCACTCAATATCTGTATTTCCCATACTCTTCCAAGGAAGGAAAACCTGGTGTTTATTGGCAAATTGCAGGGGCATCCTCAGTTGGGTTCTATTATTAAAAACAAGGCAATCGATCAGTGGTTTTCCTAAAGCTTCTCCTTCCCTGCACAACTATTTTTGTGTATTATGTTTTCTTCACGATTTTGCTACTGAAATAAAAATAGACCTCTGCTGTTGCCTTCACTCTGAGGGCAGAATGTAATGGCTTCTTCAGAAGCTTCTAGGGTGAGAACTGTGGTGAGAGCTCTTTTTAACATTCCTATCTTTTAACGGGCTGGCCTGGGTGATGAGGCCGCGATGCTGGGTTTGTCCTGAGAGCCTAAAGCCCCTGGAGAGCCTACCAGCCCCAGCCCTTGCTCTGGGGGAATCTGAGCAGCCAGGGCTGGGGCTCAGCCACCGTTGCTGAGACAGATGCCTAATATTAGCAACTGAAGTAAGACATAAATAGCAGGGATCCGCGTGCCATCAACACGGTCAATCTCAGAGGCATCCAATATCAAAGTCGGAAGGCAGGAATTATTTAACAGAAAAAATGAGTAAGATCTGCTGGCAGAGAAAAAAACAAAGGCATTTGAACAAATGGAAGCATGATTTAAAAACCAAAGGCAAAGAACAGAAGAACTCGAAGGCCCACCTGTGAAAGGAAATGGATAAATTATAAAACGGGACTATGGGTAGGAAAGCATGAGAGAAAGCTGACAGCACAATTAGGAAAATTAATCTCAAATTAATCTCAACAAGTACACAGGCAAAAGGCACAGTGGGAAGCACGGTGGTTGGAGGAATGAAAGGTCCAGGATGATGATGCACCAATCAGCTGAGTGAGCAGGGCAATTCCATGGCCTTTGCCCTTCATTTCCGTGGGGTAAAATGGGGGTAATAATACCTGCTCCCTCCAGGGTGGTTGTAATGACTGAATGATTGCAGGAGCCGCTCCTATCAAGGGCAGCCTTGAGTCCACAGTAGCTTGCACCATGCCTGGCTCAGTATTTTTGAATGAATGAATAATTTATGGATTTTAACACTGCCATGCAATGTGCCAATATTGTTTGATCTTCACTTTGAACAGGCAGCGGAGAGCAGCGGTTCTCGCAGTGTGGTCCTCACCCAGCAGCAGCAGCCTCCTGGGGAACTGGCCACCAATGCAGAGTCACCAGCAGCACCCAGACCTGGGGAATCGGAAACTCTGGGTGTGGGGCCCAACAATTTGAGTTTAAGACACCCTCTGGGTGATGATGTCACAAAGTACATGCTAAAGTTTGAGTACATGTGCATGCTAAAGTTTCTGGCCTGGAAAACTAGCAGAAAACAGTTTTTAGTAGCAAATATGAATATTTGTCATTTAAGAATTACACATGTAATGTAAATAACAAAGGAAAAGGATCAGAGAGTGAAAGTCAAATAAAATATATCATGTCAGAAAGCCCTCGGGGACTGCACTGTCCACACATGCTTTTTATGATGAGTAGGAACCTCTAAGGCTCAGTTGCTGTGCCTGTCATTGCATTGTTTGTGGATATGCTTCCCTATTCTTTAAGAGCAAGTGTTAGTGATTTTGTCCCCAGCTCCCAGCACAGAGCCAGGGACACCACAATACCCATTACATAGTCATTAATGACTGCCTAAGCACAGTGCACTGCTATTTTTTTGGTACTCTCTTTCATTCTACTTTCCTCAAACCTAAGTAAGAAACAGTGATATTGATATAGGCCAGACAGTTTATGACACCTGAATCTTCTAATCTGGTGATTACAAAGGGGAAGAGATTTCAAGAAAGTTCTTTTCATTTGAGTAGGTCCCGATGACTCGCTGAGAAACTTAAATCAAAGAGGAAGGAAACCAAAAGTTAATTAAGAAATACACCATGGGACAAACAAGTTAAGGGGTAGACTTAAAAATATTCATCAGTTGAATTCTAAACCAAACTACAGAGGAGGCAGTCAGTCATTCTTTCAGAAAGGTTTGTCAATGAAAATTCAGGGGATGTGAAGGAAGTCTGCAAACAGTTCCTGCCTGCAGAGAGCTTGCCCTCCAGTGAGGAGAGAACTACAGTCACATGAAACAAACACATGTGTGATCAAAGCAGGGGAATGGCACCCAGTCAGCACATTCAGGTTCAAGGCTGGGCCGACCGAAGTGTTGGGGGACAGTGGGAAAGGCTAGGCTGGGCGCAGGTCCTGACAGGCCTTAAGGGCATGTGCTGAGGCGCTGGGGTTACCACTCGTGGCTGCGTCTGTGAAGGTTTCTGAACAGCGTGCAGACAGAGAAGGTGCATTGTGGATTCATCATCCCCTGTTCTCATTCACTTCAATTTTTGGGGGAGCTTCAGTCTCCCCTCCCTTCTCCCTGGCATCAGGAGCTCTGTTGTAGACCAAATGAGGGAACTCCCAAGGGGTCATCAAAAAACGGGATGTGGGATGGTGGGAAGAGCCTCGGGGAGTGAAGGAAGAGAAAAAAATTCTAATCTTTCTCCTTCAAGAGGCTACAAATAGGTGCCCTTAATAGGTCACCTATTCAATGCCAGTTGGGCATGTATGTGTGTGTATGTATAGATGTGCATTTGTGTGTGTTCATGTGTGTATGTGTATGTATGTGCATGTTTGTGTGTGCAGGTACATATATGTGTGAGTTCTCTTGAACTCTTACAAAGTCATTACCATCATTCTATTTTATAGATAAGTAAACGGTGGCTCAGAGGAGCCAAGTGCAGCTGGTGAGTGACTCCACCTGGACTGAAACCAGGACTGCAGACTCCAAACCCCACACTCTTCACTCCTCCCTGTGTCTTTTCTTTCCCTCTCATCAGGCTTGTTTGAAAAAGTGTGAGAACCAGCAAGGCCAGCCCTAAGGCAGGGAGAGGAGGCAGAGTGGCCTGGTGGGTCTGGATCTCCAGGTGTGGCAGAGGAGAGAAGGAAGTGCTGAGGTCCCACGTGGTCCAGTGTGGCTCACCAGACAGGGAGACCACAGGGCTGAGGCCAGCTCTCCAGCTGGAGGAAGTAGCACGGTGCTCAGTGCAGGCAGCCAGCTATGGCCTGACAGTGACAACGACAGCAGCTGACACCTGCTGAGCACACGCTGTGAGCCAGGTACCTCTGTGGGCACTCCACACACATCAGTTTATTTAATCTTTACAACAGCCACCAGATTGTGATGCTTGGAATTCTGTCACCTAGTGAAATTTACCCAGTGATCATGAGTAATTTCCCCGAAGTTATGCAGAAAATGGGCAGTGAGTGCAGGCTTGGTGCTGGCAGCCCACTGGGCTCTCCCAGTTCTGGGCTCTGGGCGAGCAAGGCAGCATGGATGGCAGAGAAGGTGGGCAGGCTTTTCACAATCATTCCAGCAGCAAATGACAATGACTCGAATCAGGGCACTGGCCAAGGAAGAAAAAGCAAAGTGCAGGAGCATATGGGGATCATCATAAATAAAGCAAACTTGGTGGCTATACAAAGACAGATGAGCCGAGGGCATCCATCTGTGAAGACTGAGCTTCCAACCTGGGTGATGAGGATGGTGATGGGACCGACAGAAACTGGAGCCCATCAAAAGTCAAGCTGGCAGTGTGTGTGGGAGGCAGAGAGGGAAATACAGTGGACAGGTGA